AAAAATTTTACAATCTCACAGTTAGAGTTTTGAGTTCTACATATGTCATCACTAACAATTTTTTTTAAAGTTATATGTGGTGTTTATGACATTTTGCAAGATTGACAATTAAATGCTGATGTTGAGTTTAGTGCAATGGCTAAAAGAATGAATGATAAGTATAACAAGTATTGAGAGAATGTAGAAAAAATGAATATGTTACTTTATATTGCTTCTGTTTTTGATCCTAAAAAAAAAATTGCATTTGTGGAGTTTTGCTTTATGAAAATGTATTATTATGATCAAACTTCAGTGATGATTAAAAAAGTGCAAGAAACAATAGTTGAGTTGTTTGATGAATACAAAAACATGTTACAATCTCAATCTAAACAAGTTGGTTATAATAACCATGCGAGTCAACCACCACTATTCACTAATGAACTTGAAATTGTGGACCTATATGACTTACAAGCTGTTATTGCTAAATTTAAAAGGTTTAGGAAACAATAAAGTAGAAAGGAGAATAAATTAGAGTTAGATAAATATTTGAATAAGCAGCTTGATGCTATTGAGGAGAGAGTGGACTTTGATGTTCTTCTTTGATGGAAACTTAATAGGCATAGGTTTCTTATCCTTTTCCATCTAGCTTGTGATGCGTTGGTAGTTCCTATATCCACAATTGCTTCTGAATTTACTTTTAGCACTGGTGCTCATATGTTAGATACATATAAGAGTTTTGTAACTCCTAAACTTGTTCAAGCTCTTCTTTGTGCTCAAGATTGGTTACGTAAAATTTAATATTTCGATCCAAATGCCTTAAAAGATGAAGTGAAACAACTTGACAAGATTGATTTGGATAATTATTTTATTTATATCATTATTTTTCAATACTTATTTCTTTAAATCTTTTAGTTAAAACTGTTTTTTTATTTTTTAATATACTTTTAAATTTATCTAAGATTGGATTGGATCTCGTAATTGATTAGTAAAGTTTATTAATCAATTAAGGTAATATTGGCATTACTTACGTTGAATGTGATCCATACAATTAAATCTTTCTCTTTTAGACAGTTTTAAATGGAATAATTTTTCAATGAATTGTGTTTTGCTTTTGTTTATTTATTGCTAAAATTTTAAAAGGGTGTTGCTGCCCGTTGCTCGTTGCTTTTTGCTTGCTGCTACCCATTGCCCATTGTTGCCTGCTACATACTGGATATTAATGTTTGAGACTTGAAATTTAAGTGCTGTAATTGGTTAAGATATTTGTTATTGCTTGTTGAATATTGTTTGAGAATTAGTCTTTATGGATTGTAATTTGCTATGTATTGTATGTGTTATGTAATTCATACAATTCATAAACATAAGCTTTATAAAATCTAAACACAAACTTCATAAACACAAGCTTCATACACAGTAAATTTAGTCTCAAGCTCTAAATCAATCAGCAATACACAGTAAGTCTATGTATCAAATAACATCAGTGAGCAACACATAGCTTTATAAAATCTAAGTCAGTGAGCAATACATAAGCTCTAAGTCAATGAGCAATATACAAGCTTTAAATTAGTGAGCAATATAATAAATCCTAAATAATTACTATAATCTCTTTTGAATATTGAAGGCATCATGAAAATTTATGAGAAAATTATTGAAGGCGTTTTTGGCAAGAAACGCCTTCAATAACCCCATTAAAAAATTTTTTCGAGATTATTGAAAATATTTTTAGTAAAAACGTCTTTAGTAATTACATCATAAAATTTTATGAGGGGATTATTGAAGGGATTGTTAGCCAGAAACGACTTTAATAACCTTATTAAATTTTTTTTAAAGATTATTCAAAGTATTTTTGTCAAAAATGCCTTGATTAATCACCTCATAAAAATCTATGAGAGAATTATTAAAGGTATTTTTGGTAAAAAAATATCTTGAGTAATCACCTTATAAATTTTTATGAAGGAATTATTGAAGACGTTTGTGATCAAAAACTAAAATCGATTAGAACAAAAAAAATCGACCAAAACTAACAAGATTAAATCAATTTGATTTTCTCAATTTTTTATTACTATTGGATCGGTTTAATTTTATCTATAAATTAATTTGGATAAATCAATTTTTAATTTTTTTAAATTGAATTAATCAAATCGACCAATTATTCAATCTTACTTCCGCTTAAAAAAAAAAAAAAAGATCATTTACGCATGTTGTGCTTTGATTTTTTGTTAATCAAAAATTATTTTTGATTAATCATCATAATTTTATTTTTCCAAACATCGAAAAACATAAAAAAATAATTTCTAAAAATAAATTTCATGATTACTAAACAGAGTCTAAGAGAAATAATTTCTAAAAATAAATTTCATGATTACTAAATAGAGTCTAAGAGAATTTGACTTTTGTTCACCCTTGGTTTTTGCAGATTCAGGTATCTCAATATTGAGAGTACTTTTGTTAATTATTTATTATCATACTAATCACAAATAAAGCAAAAGGATTGAAGTCAAATAAACAATGTTATCTTATGATGTGGCTATAATAATGTAACCGGGTAAAAGTTTTCCGATATTATTTGTCACAATTGTAATTATTTGTGCGTGTACAAATTATATTGAGTTAATGTTGTGAATAATTTTTAAAATATAATTAAATATTTAATATGATATTTTAATTTTAAAAATATTTAATATGATATTTTAATTATAAATGTATTAACTTTTAAAAAGTTTTTAAATTATAATTAAATATTTAATGTGATTTTTAAATATTAAAAATATTTAATGTAATATTTAAATTATAAATTTATTAATTAATATAATACTAAAAGTAATTTGTTTGTTACGAGTTATTTTATAAAATTAGTTATGTTATAGATAAATATCATATTAATTAATAAATTTTTAATTTAAATATCATATTAAAAATTTTTAAAATTAAAATACTACATTAAATATTTTATTATAATTTTAATATTATTTGTGATATTAATCCAATTACAATATATGAAATGTTTTTCAATGTTATTTGTAAAAAAAAATTATGGTTAGCATTGTTCTTTCATTTTTTAATGGATGGCTTATTATTAGGGTTGGCAACCCTACCCGCTTTTGATGGGTTCTGACTTGATCCAATTTTATAGGGTTGATTTTTTTTTGAAAAATCTAATTTTGGGTAAGGTCGAATAATGTTAAGAAAAAATCAAGATCGGATCGAATTTGAATTTTAATCAAATTTGATCCAACTTGATTCGATATTATATAAAAAATATTTTTTAATTAATTATTTAATTTTTTATTTATATAATTATATTTAAAAATAATATTTTATTAATTTCAATTCAAATCAAATCAAATATGTTTTATATAATATTAAGTTGAATCGAATTTAAATATAAAAAAATAAAAAAAATTTTGAATCGAATCAAATTTAAATTTTATAAATATAAAATTAAATTAAATTTAAGATAAAAAAATTTATTTCGATATGATGCATTGTCATATCCGTTTATTGTTTTCAACCATTTTCCCATCAATTTTCATGTTTTCCATATTCCCCTGTAAATAACTAAAGCTACACTGCCAGCTGGGATTGGTTTTAAATTATTTATTATTTTGATTTGTGATAGTAATCTGTGCGCCACCCATTTTCCGATCTTCCAAATTTTAAATGGCGAAGCCCAAGAGGTTTAATTGTGAGTAATCCAGTATTCCAATTCCATCTTTGTCAGTCTGTCAGCTTCCAAGATAAGGCTAGATTTCTGCACGTGTAAAACTGCCATGACGTGGAGATTGAACTTTAACAAGAACCAAATTACCAGCTGTTACGCAAATCATATATTCTCTTTATTATAACATTTTCATGTCACCCTCCACCTTATTTCTTTATTTTTTAATTTTTAATTTTATTATTTATCTTATTAAAAAAATTAAACGAATAAATTTTTTTAAATTCATAATTTTTAAATATAAATTTTAATAATATATTAATTAATTTAAAAGATATTCGATATTTTATTTCTTAAATTATTGAAAGTCAAAAAAAAAAATAACTAAAAAATATTTAAATGGGTAGTTTATGATTTTGTACATGATCATTCCAGGTCAGGATCTAGGCATAAATAAAGATAATAAATGATCGAATTGAAATAAATTTAAATTATTTTAAATTTAAATTCATTTCAAATTCAAATCATCCAAAGAATTTAAATTCAAAAATGTATTTGAGATGTGGCTACTCCAACTAACACCTATAATCGAGACTAACAACCTTACCATGAACTGCCAATTGAATTAACTCTCTTCCCAAAATTCATCTGCAAACAACTTCAAAACGGTGTCGGTACTCTGTAGCTGAAAGAGAAAAAAAATTGTTTTGCTTCAAAGATTTATTAAAAAAGTCAAGACTGATTTCCAATACAAATAGCATTGGAACCAGGAGCTTTGAAAAGCCGGGGCCATCGGTTAATAAATTTAAAACCCTTTGTAATTTGTAGGCTCATAAGATATAAAAAAAAAAAAATACGTCAGCTTAATTAGATGAAAACAATATGATTAGATTTAATTTAAGTTTTAAATAATATGTAATATTATAATTTTTAAAATTTAATTTAAATTTAATTTAATTTTTTTAAATTTTATTTAATTCAAATTAAATTTTATCGATTTAATTTAATTTATTAATTTTAAATTTTTTTATATATTATTTTAATAAAAATTTTAATAATTTAAATTAATTTATATTAAAATTTAAAAAATTTAAAAAATATATAAAAATTAATAAAAATATATATTTCTATTTAATTTAAATTTTTTATTTTTCACATCTCAATACAAAATTTAATCTAGATTTAATATATATATTTAATATCAAATTTTAATCTATATCAAATAAAATAAAAACAATTTAAACCAATTTAAATAATATAATTTTAAATTAAATTTCAATTTTTTCAATTTTTTTCACCCCTCAAGCCTAACCATCATCAACCAACTAAGACACTCAGTGTCGGTTTCACCTCCCCAATTACTCTCTTGCTTAAAACGCACACAAAATATCTAATGCTTCAGTCATATTCAACACTTGCCTTTCACTTTCAGCTCAAAAAGACATAAATGTATGGCATGAAACCAATGCATTTTCTGTTCAAAATCTGTCATTAACAACCCAATTTTCACAGTAAAAGCTACCCCTCCATCGATTCTCATCTTCTTCTGTGACTAAAGAGTATATGTTTATTCCTATATATCCCAGCTTTCCTGAGTTTTAACCAAATACATACCCAGAATATTTCCTTTTCCTTTTTTTTTTTTTTGACTCTTGGGTTCATGTTCTTCTTTGTTGGGTTTCATTTTATGCCTTCGTTAGGTGGGTGATAGACTTGTTTTTGTTGCTTTCTTTTCTTTTCTCTCTTTCCTATCCTTTTTAACCCGGCTTTTAAGGCAGATAAACTGGGGACTCTTTTGCATAATCCAAATTGCAAACCGCGGCAAAAAGACGAATTAAGGTAACCCCATCTTCGATTTTCTTCTTTCCATCCTTTTTTTTTGGGTTCCTCTTTGTTTGTTTCTTTAAAAACTTGAGCAAAAGAACAGAAATTGATACTTGGGCTCTTACTGTTTCATGTTTATGCGGTTTCCCAATTATGAATGAGCTGGTTCTTAGATCCTAAACACAAAGAGTAAATTTTCGTTTCTTTCACTCTGATTTTTTTTTTACCAACCAATTAAGCATATTAGTTTTAACTCCTCCAGACAAGTTGTTATTGTACTTTATTTGTTCCTTTCTTTCCCTTTTGTAAGCTGTGACTATGCTTGGCATGCCTTGAAAATTATGCAGGAAAGTGTTCTTTTTTCTGGACTTTTTGGATCTATAGAATTGTTTCATTTTTTTTTACTACAATTATATCATAATCATCTTTTTCCTTACTTTGAAAAATTTTCCTTTTGTTTCTGTTTGTAACTTGTTAGGATAAAATTTTTTTTCTTCTTTTCTGAAGTTGTATTTTTTTTCCTGAGTGTGGATAAAAAATTTGTGTTACTTTATTTTATATGTTGATTTGGTACCATCTAAACTTTCTTGATCTCCCAATTACTGCATTTTATATCTCTGCATTTCTTGTTCTATTATTGTGGAATTTTTTATATTTTTTCTCTTTTTTTTTTCTTTTTTTTTCTTCTTAGTTTTTAATTTTAACAAAATTTTCCTCGCCGTCGGTTTTTACTTTTGTGGAAGGTGATTATTAATACCATATACATCTTTATTATAATTATTGAAGTTGCTTTTTGTGTTTCTCTTATGCCCATCATTACCTGAGTGAAGATCGGATGGAAGAGCAAAGTGCCTTTCGACCCTGGGATGAACTAATTCCTGATGCATTGGGGATAATTTTCAGCAATCTGTCCCTACAAGAGGTACTAACAGTCATTCCCTGTGTCTGCAAATCCTGGAGAAAGGCAGTGACAGGTCCCTATTGTTGGCAAGAGATAGACATTGAAGAATGGAGCAATCGATGCGAGCCCAAACATCTTGATCAGATGCTTCAAATGCTGATCACAAGAAGCAGTGGATCGCTCCGCAAGTTATGTGTTTCAGGCCTTCAGAATGATACCATTTTCTCGTTCATCACAGAGAAGTAAGTTCACCTGCTCTTACCCTTTTTGCTAATTGCATTTGTCAGTAATGTAACGAGTCCCTGCTCAATTATGAACTTTTTCTATCGTTAATTCTTAAATGCGTGGTTTGCTTTTGTGATTTATTGAGTTAGATTATATTAAAATATAATCGGTTCATATATAGTCTTGATGCTCTCTTTTGGTTAGCTGGCACGTTTACTAGTTTGAATCAGTATTCATGTTGAGATTTCCAATGAGACAATTGTAATATCTTTAAGAAACACGGGATCACACTTTCCCTCTCCTCTAGGGATCATTGTTCAATGGACACTTTTAAGTGATACAGTATATTTTTTTCCTTGCTTTTGCAAGTGCTGGTTCCCTTCGGGCTTTGCGACTGCCGAGAAGTGAAATTAGTGATTCAATAGTTGAACAAACTGCTGGAAGGCTTTCCACAATCACTTTTTTGGATTTGAGTTACTGTCGCAAAATTGGTGCCCATGCTTTGGAGGCTATTGGAAAGCGCTGTAAACTGCTTGTTAGTCTGTGCCGTAACATGCACCCACTGGATGCAGCAGGCAAGCTCTCGCAGGATGATGAGGCAAATGCCATAGCTGCTACGATGCCTATGCTCAAACACCTTGAGATGGCTTATCATCTTATTAGCACCGGAAGTGTTCTGAACATCCTTTCTAGCTGTCCGCAGCTTGAATTTTTGGATTTAAGAGGTTGCTGGGATGTGAAACTTGATAATCAGTTCATGAAGGAAAAGTTCCCAAAATTGAAGGTTTTGGGGCCCCTCGTCATGGACTGCTATGAGATGGATGAATGGGATGAATGCTCAGACTACTCTGATAGTACGGAGTATTTGGCCTGGGAGTTCGAAATGGATGACTATGATGATTATGATATTTACGATGGAGTGTGGCACCATGAGGGGAGAATGGAGGAACTTGAACTGAGGTTCTATGAAGGAATTGGTGAGGATGCTGGAATGTTTGGTTGGCCTTTATCCCCTTAGGTTCTTCTTTTGGTTCCATGCTGCCTCTCTTTTCTAGTGCATAGATATGGATGCTTCTAAATATGAAACCGTATGTTTCTATTAAAATATATCTTATGTGTCATTGTGAACTTTGAAGTTGTGTGGTTTGTTGGTATCTTTTATTTTCCTGATTATCTAAAGAATGCCTTTGTATAGTGTACTGTGCTGATAAAATCAATCACAAGTGAGTTCATAATCTGATTTTGTCATTTAACTCTGGAAACAGAATGATAGGCATAGGCATAGGATGAGACTTTCATGAAATGTCTTCCTATTGCAATGCTAAAGTGAAACAGGAGCCATAACCAGATGGCCCACTTGGACTTTTATGCGAGATGGGCCAGTTCTTTTGGCAACTTACGCCAGGCTGCCTCATACTTTGCATGCAAATTGTACCTAGCTTTTCGTTTGAGTGGCCCTTGGTCCTTTTCAATTTTTTGCTCCCTGGTTTCCCACGTCACCAAAATATTTTTTTTTTTAAAGAAAGGGTTTTGTAAATGCCCCATGATTCTACTCTCTGCGAAAAGGCAAATAAGCATTTTTTTCATCTTCATGCCAAACCCCGTGTTGTTTACGCTCTCTTTGTTGCAACCTGCACCTGAATTACCCTTTTTATTTTGCCTGAACGCATCCTGCCGTACACCCAAATCAGAAATCGGAACCATTACTTTTTCAAAAAACAACGGCCTTTGCCCCGAGCCCACATTCAAGTACCAACATTATTACGACTAGTAGCATTATTATACTACTCCTGCAAGCTAACATCCTGCCATTGAAGTTGTAAAGTAACATGAAATAAACTCCTGCAAAACCCCAAATTATTAATATTATTTTTTGTTAATAGAAGTTATAGGTATTAGTGAGGCTGTTTGTTTAGCCACGATTATTCTATTTCTAGTTGCTTAATCAAATTATTAATCATTTTTTGTTTAAATGACAATGGTTAAAATGGGTTTTCTTTTATGACCAAAAGAGCTCATTTTTTAAGCCTAACCATGGTTTCTTATCTTGATATCAATTAAACTGTAAAATAGTTGATCGCCAAAACGGCACTTCACTTCAACGTCACAATTCTCTCTGCTACCAAATGTAAACCTACCTTTAATAATAAGAGTTTTTTTTTTCTTTTTGCTCAAAATAATATTAGCACTTGTAGTTAAGATTTGGAATTATAGTTGAAGACAACAAACTTAGTGTAGTCACAGTAATCATGTGACTTTTGTCTTTGGATCTTGTATTCTTGACTACTTACTATAGCTCAAAGCTCCCTCCCTCGGACCTCGGCTCAGCCTCTTGAGATATGTGTGTTTTGAGTTTTGAGACCGCTTCCTCGGGCAAAATGACAAACCCTTCGTCGGAGTAACCACCCCATGTGCCCGCACCCAGCTTCAAAGCAGATCACACTTCGGTACTTACCCTGATCCACAAAAGATTAGTAAAAGAGAGATCTTTGAGATGATAAAGATAAATTTCCGTGAGTTTATTTGATTAAAACAATCAATATATATATATATATGAATATGATAATTGTAACAATTTCTTTATATTTTCACTACAAAATTATAAATAATTTTGATAATATTATTATAGCTCAAGTAATTGTTTACAATATCATCTAAAAGATTTTTTTAATTAAGAGTTGGTGTCAAACATGTGTTGCTGATTATTATGAAATAAAATGACAAACGTGATTAGACCTAACCCCTTTATTTTATCTTTTCCCATGCAATCAAAAAAATAAGTTTTTTTGGCTTGAAAGAAGGAAAGAAAATAAGCAATTTTCGTCTTATGAAGAATATTGTCGTATTTAAGTAGAAATCATAAGAAGCATTCTGTTATCTATATTATTAATAATCGTATAAGTTATTGATAAAATACTACATTTTTAATTTTAATAAATAAAATTCAAAATTTGATAACTTTATATAATAAAAATAAATTTTGATATATTTAATATATAAACAGTTATATATATATATAAGATGTCAAAATGTATCGAATATATTTTATAATACGTAAGTGTAAGAATTTATAATAGAACTTGAATGTTTTCGATTTTAAATTGAAAAAAGGCAGAGAATTATGAAACTTTCGATCTCTACTCTTGATATTTTTGTCTTCGGAAAAAAGTTGAGATGGTAAGATGCCTTTCCTTAATCCTCCCTCATTACAAAGAGTGGTCCCTCAATCATCGAATCTATCTTACACTGCCATGCCCATGTTTTAAGACCAGACAAACCACAGCCTTACAACCTTTAGCTAAAAAATTTCTCCTAACCTTGACATGACTTGTCTACCCCTCACAAATATTCCATTTGCCATGGATAAATTGGGGATTTTCTCTTATATCAGGAAAAAATGAAAAGCATCCATTTTGCTTTTGGGATCATTCCATATAGTGGTCCCATTTGTAATTTTCAAATTCGTTTGGCTTTTTTATAGATTAATTTACAGATTATCATTAAAATAGATTACTGACAAATTAAATTTTAATAAGTAAAATATTTTTTATTTACCAAGTCAGAAATTTTATTTTAGTTTATAATTGAAAATTGTTGGCTTAAGCTTTTAGTTAATGTTCTGGTGGAATTAAAAAATTAAAACTGTTCTATTTTTGGTTGGGATCAAATTACGTGGTTGTACATGAAGCACTGGAGAACCAGACATTACTCTCTGTAACTTTCAGCGGCCCACTCATTTTTTGGGCCAAAACCTGTCTGCCCCGACCTTGGATCTTTGTTCTTCACTTGTTCCTGCAAACCCCGTTGCAATTCCTTCAATTTATTTCCTCAGATCGTTGTTCCTCATTTTTTCTTCACAAATGCAAAAACATGGCATTCCTTCAATTAAATGGCGAAGGGTTTAATGACAAAAGGCTTTTCCTGTCATGTGTTTTAGACTTGGCATTCCTTCGTTGATAAATATCTGTTCATTTTTTTTTTCATTCATTAACTCCTAAATTATTCATATTAAAAGTTAGCATTTAATTTTCTTTAGCTTATATAATTATTTTTTATATACTATGGAGTGATTAAAATAAGAAACAGTGAGGTGAGAGGAACTAGAGAAAATTAATTAATATACTAATACCAACTTCCTTTTACTGATTAATATAATTGTTTTCACCTCAATTCCACGGGTTTTGCGCAGCCTTGAGTTAATTAATATAATTATCAATGTTTGATAAAAAATCTATCCAAAATATTCTAACAACTTTTGACTATGTTTTACAATTCCAATAAAAATATTTTTATATTTCAAGATTATAATACTATTAAAATAAAAAGAGTTTTTGGAAATGAAAAGAAGACAAAAACTCCATAGGAGAGACAGCTGTACTTGAGATTAAATGATTGATTTGATTGATTAAAAAATTTTTTATGATAAAATTTTAGATTCAAATTTTAACATTTATCACTTATTTAAATGATTTTAAATATATAAATATATAAATATATAATTTATAATTAATTATTTTAAATTATCAGATATAATACATATTATCTTAATTAAAAAAATTAAATAATTTATCTATTTTAAATTAAAAAAAAAACCATGTACTCATCAGTCAGATTTGCACAAATTCAAACAGTCCCTTAAGTTGTAAATTAAGGAGCTGACGGTAGACCATAACTGGGGTGAATGCAACATGACCAAAAAAGAGAAAGAGAAGAATTTCAAAATGGGACAAATATCTTTAATTAAATATTGGCATACGATTAGAAGATATTATATTAAATATTTTTTAATATTATCAAAATATTTATGATTGAATCGGACAAAAAAATTGCTTTTTGGAAAACTTTGTTTAAGCCCGGCTTGGCCTGTCAAGTTAAATAGATTTGAAATTTTTTTAAATATATTAAAATATTAATATTTCAAATATATTTTAAATTTAAAATTTAAAAAGTATATTTTATTCATTAAATAATTTGGCCAAGTTTTTAAAATATTTATCCATAATCAAACTTAAATTGACAAAACCTTAAAATGATTTATGGATAAATTTATAATATAAATGCTATATTAATTTTTAAAAAATTTCTAGGAGCCAAACATGATATAATCTAAAATGAAAAATATTAATGATAATTTAAAAATTACAAAATTTTTTTTCATAAAAAGTTTGTCTTTTTTAATAACTATTTTTTTGTTTTTTGCCACATTTTGATATTCTTCTCTTTTTATCATGAGACATTTATATATCAAGATTAACCTCTATGTCATTTTCTTTTTTTCACTTCATAAAATATTTTAATAAAGATCATAAATGAGTAAGACATGAATCGGATTAAATATTTTTTATATTATATATATACTTTCATACATAATGAGTATTTTAAATTTATTTTTATTTTTATGAGTATTAATTGAAAATAGATAATTTTTATATCCATTATTTTTTTAAAAAATAATGAATAAAATTATTTTTTTTATTTTTTATCTTACGTATTTATAAATTTTTTTTAAAATATATATTTAAATAAAAATATACTAATTTTAATTAATTTATATTATTATTAAATAAAAAATAATTTATTAAATCTAAATAAATATATATAAAATCTGGATATAATATAAGTGCTATATTATAAATTTATATATTGTATTCATAAAAAAATTAAAATCATACACATTTTTATTTTATATAAAAAATTATTATCTATTTTCATCTTCATCAAAATAAACAATCAAATTTCTTATCAAATTTAGATAGTTTGAATCATCAGTGAAAATTCGCGCGAGCTACTCTGACAAACATAATTGAAATGGAACTCACGGTTTACAATATAACTATTATTCTCACCGTAGTGGTCAACAATATTATTTAGTTTTTTCTTCAATTTTTAAGAAGGTAATAAAAAAACTTAAGCTAAATAGTTAAAGAATAAATAAAATGACAGTCACTTTACCCTCCTTATGTAATAAAAAAATAAATAAAATGACAGTAATATGATTTATTAGTAAAATATTTAAATTTTAATTTATAATATTTTTCAAATAAAAAAATAGATATTGACAAATTCAAAAGAATTCAACAACTAGGAAATAAAAAATAAAACCTTAGGCAACAAACTACGGATGCTGATTGATCC